ATCGGAGATCTTATTTCATCCGTGAGATCACTCGTTGGAACAAAAAAAGTGACCCCGTGCCGCGTCCGCGCCGTCCGCGCCGTCCGCGCCGTCCGCGCCGTCCGCGCCGTCCGCGCCGTCCGCGCCGTCCGCGCCGTCCGCGCCGTCCGCGCCGTCCGCGCCGCTTCGCGGAAGGGAGATTCGAAGCCGCGACCCCCTCGCGTCCAGCGGGGCATCCAGCGGTTGGGAAGAACTCATTTCGGGCCTCATTAGCCGTTCCCGTACATAAACGCCCTCCCTTTGTGGCCCATGATCACACACCCAATCCCACAAAGTTTGCCGGCGATTCGACCATTCATCGACATGCCAGCACGCGGTGTCCAGCGGAGGAAGCAGGGACGATCGTATGCCCCGAGACACCCGCATTGCGCGCCGAAAGAGGCGACTCGCCCATGCTCTGCGAAGCGCAGCCCGCGCTCATCGTTATCTTCAAAAAATGGCACTTTTTTCATGCAATCTTTATTCGCTAAGGCCGCGTTAGTCTATCGTCTAGAGCGGCTTAGACGATGGTGGGCGTTTAGCGTGGAATCGCTGCCCCAGGACCTCCGGTGGGCTTCGCGACCCACCCGCTGTGCTAGCTCGGCCCGCCCGGGGCGTTCGGGGCCCCGCGGGCTGCGGAAGGGCGCCCCGTGCCGGGGCGTGACGCCATGCCACAAGGCGCTTCTCGCGCAGCCGCTGCTCGCGATGATGTCGGGCCGGATGAGCTGCGCGCGATGGAGGGTGAGTTGCACTTGTTCTTGCACGAGCTTACAAACGGTAACGCGGCGCATGCGGCGAACATAATGACCACCGCTTTGCGTTACATTCCTCAAAGTAATTTCGAGGTGCGGCCGAATCCATCCGGTTCTTACGGTGGCTCCCTTGACTTTGTTGGTGCTCCCTATGGTCTGGAGCCTGGTGCACTTCGTGCTGCTTCTGATGAGATTGTGCGCAACTGGGATAATGTGGAGATTCGTATAAAACAATTTTGGCACGGCTTCGAGTACGGTGGA